TGAAGGGGACAATTAGCAGAAATTGCTGCTACATCTTGATAATCCGGTGTATTTTTATTAAAAACTTCACGAGAAACATCGCTAGTAGAAGGTTGATTTTCTTCTTTCCAAATTTCTAGGAACACTAATAAATATTTTTGAAGATGAATGTGAATCATTATCACATTCTGGAACAAAATACTTTTTCGTAGTCATAATATTTATAAAAAGTACAAAATTAAACACTCAAATTCCAAATAAATTCTTGATCGAGACACTATGATGACAGATGCCATATACAGTGCTGCCATTTTGCCATTTTCTGAATTATTAAGTGTCTTTTAAAACAATGAAACTTTAAATATGGTAAAAGTTTAAACAGAAATAATACTTTCAAAAAACATTTGATATTATATATTTAAAAGATATTTGTTTAACGATGTTTTAGAAGTCTAAAAGTAAGAAGGAGTACACAAACGAACGTACATCACTTCTCGTAAACCTTCTAGCCGGCAACGTTGTGCGCTAGCTCCTATTGGTCTATTCCCGGTGACGTCATAAATTTTTAAAAAATTCATAACTCCGGCAAATGAATAGATAAAAAAAAAATAAAAAAAATGTAGTTTTATTTTTAACTAAACTATTCATAAAAAAAATTTCAAAATTTTTGAACATGCCCCATTGACCACCACCCCATATTCAATGAATTATATCCATGACGAAGATATAGGAATTATAGCATTATTGGATCACCCTATATACTATAAACTATAAAATAATCTATTAAGATTTTGCTTAGTGATGTTAAAACTTTTGTCAAATGCATTTTTTAACGAATAATCTGGATTGGATCTCCTTTTGGAATAATGATTTGATATAAAAATTCCAGTCAGCTGAACTAGTGAAGGTCGAATGAAACCAGACGAGGTTATAAAAAATACGAGTACACCAAGAAATTCGTATGTGTATATTTATAGTTATAAAATAAATTTAACTAAAAAACACTGGATATAGGTAAATAAGGGTAAAACGCGGTAAACGTAAACCAATGGAAATATTTTGTACACTAGTGCCTGTTAGGTTCTTTCGTTCGTCACACTGGTCAGTATTGCCAATTGGAAGGAAATTTCCCGTTTTGCGGGAATTTTTAACACAAAAGGGAAAAAGGTAACTCAAAAAGGGAATTGTTTACTCCAGTCCAAATTGTGAAAAATATATTATTTTAAAAATAAATAAAATTAAATTTTTTATGGCTTTGACATATTTTTAAAGTATTGTTAAAGGATTTGTTTTTAGGTTTTTTTTTATATGTATACAAGTATGAAACCGATTTTTTTTTGTTAACGGAAGAAGGGATGATGCCACCTGTACTACGAATTTCAGGAACCAGAAGGACCTGATTAGCTAAGGACCTTTTTTTTTAAACAAAAGTCCAGGTTTTGAGGAATGAAAAGGTGGCAACCCTAAACGGGAAAAGTGGGAAGTTTTAAGGTAAGTGGAGGGAAAAATCGTACTTTAAGGTTGGCAACAGTACCACTGGTGTAGGAACGCACACCATACCTTTCGTTTGGCCCGGTTTAAACCCACTATACCTTCTTGTCGGCGATGTGGTGTCCACTGATGGATATTTTCTCCACCAGCTATTTAGCAGGAGTGAATTACACTCGAGTTGTGTATAAGGACTAAGGAGAAAGTAAACTAGGGTAAATAAGGTGGTGTAACTGGTGTAATTTACACTGATAGACACTGCACTGTAACTTACCGCACCGAGGTACCTTAAAAATGTATTAATTCCATTTATTAAATATAATATTTCATTCTTATTAAATTCAACGAAAAATCTCCTAGATAATTAAATCTTATTTACGACACTTAATAAATAATATCTATAACCATGTGCGTAAGAGATCCAATTTTCGTGCAAGTGTCTTAAGTGCGTTTGAATAGTAACGTTGTTTTCGATTCACAAAATTTTCAAGGCAAGTAATAAATCTGCCAACCCCTTTTTCACCCAAAATTCGTTTCTGAACTGGGAACTAAGATACTTACGTCACAAAAGGCCATTAAAACTAGTATAAGAACTCGAAACCAAATGAGCTCGGATTGATTCATTTTTATTTGCAAGCATTCATTTTATTAATTGTATCCAGTTATATTTCAAGTTCAGTAGTCAGTACCTTGCCTAAAACGTTCTTTCTAAACAATGTATATCCTATCCCCCGAACGCTGTCAAAGTCCCACGACTTATTTCTCGACTCTTGTCGTTTTTAAATATTCAATACCTTCCTCTTTACCAAGACGCTAAGCGCCTGGAGGCAAGGCAAAGCTCAACGCTGCGACGTACCTAAATCGACGCCGTCACAACGCTATATGAAATTAGTACATAATCTAATGTCTGTATTTTCAATGGTGAGTCAAAAGATTTATGTAACTTTCTTTGAGATACCACTGGGGTCGTTTAGACGAGGGCCTGATATTTTCTTCAAAATATTATTAATGTAACCAATAAACTATATGGCATTCAGTCGTTCACCCCGAAAGAGTTCAATAAAAATTATAATAATCAATATTAAAAATTATACAGGGTTGTATTAAGTCATTTCAATAGAAATGATAAAAATCAATATTTTAGAAATATACAAGGATGTGCTATCTTGGATAAATTGTACAAACCAAGATGGTAAAATTTAATAGTAAGTTAACCAACTAGTGAATACACTTTTCGTTAGCTCAAGGGGGACACCTATATGCTAAGCCACCCATTCTACAAGGTTCGAAACAAAGTATATGTAAAATCAACATAGTAAGATAACTGGGGTTGCCACCTGTCCTTTTTTGAACAGGACAGTCCTTTTTTGAAGAAAAATGTCCTTGTGACTTTTTAAAGCTTAAATTGTCCTTTTTACGGCAAATGTCCTCTTTTTCTACGACAAATGTCTCTTTTGACTAACAGCACATATTTTTGGAAGGGACATGGTTTGTTCAAAAGTAAGTGAGGACCTTTTTTTTGAAGCTGGGCATGACGAGGAGGCTTTTTGGATTTCTTTCGTTTTAGCTCGACATTTTTTTTAGAAGCTCGATAAGATGAGGAGGATTTCTTTCGTTCAGCAGACAAGCTTTTTTTTTAGACTCGCGAATTAGCGCTGTTCGTTAACTCCGTTGGTAATCAACCTAAATAAAACATATCTTTATAGCAAATGAACGTGGTCTGCGTTTGAATGGGATCTCAGTAAATTGTAATATACTTTCTAATTATTGCATCACATTTAAAGTATGAAAAATAAAAGAGTTTAAATATAAATTTGTCTGGTTTTATTTATCAATTTTCCTTAATTAACAATATTACAACGTATGTATATAAATTATCAATTAATTAACTAGAGGAAAAAGGCCAAATACAGTAAGTATAATTTAAAGTAAAATAATAATATAATATTTCGGAGAGTAAACAACGATCAAATGGGGTACCAGGGGTGGGTCGGTACAGTAACAACAGCGAACGAAAGAACCTAAGTGTCCCAAATAGTACAGAAATGGTACACAAAATGTGCATACATAGTACATAAACAGAATGATTAAAATTAGGTTAGTGAGCTAAAAAAAGGTTCTAGATTAAAATTAGGTTAACGATCTAAAAAAAGGGTTGTTTGTATATTACTCAACAACTCTTGTATACGACATAAGTTCATATTATGAAGTTTTTCTTCTTAAAATCAACCCAAAAATCAATTAGAAAACACCGTAAAAATAGAGAGTTAATTATACTGCGTACTAAAGACTAAGGATTAAATTATAGAAAATGCACGTCTGCGACGTTACAGATTTCCAAATATGGCGGACTTACTTTGATACAAGTATCAATTTTTTCTTATTCCAAAAAGCATCTGCAAATCCGCTATATTTATTGTGGAAAAATCGTTTATTACCACCCAACAAAATTAAATAACTCAAATTCATTACAATGTTTAAAAACTTTATGGTTATATAAATTTTACAAGTTTGCAGAACGTTTTAACTTACTTCTTAAGTTACAGATAATTTAAAAGCGCATCATGTTTCTCATTTGCAACTGCAACTGATATTTGTTGCCAAGGGGGATCAATGGGGATTGATCCTCCCCGAAATAAAAAAAAGATATTTATTTTAGACTTTTAATAAGTATTAATGAGACAGCAGTTATATACAGTGCGCCTGTCTCACTTTGTTGTTTTACACAACATCACTACAAACAAAATTCTCTACCTACTGTTATTTTTATTATGTAGTACTTTATACTTGCTTGGCATTCGCACGACGATACTTAAATAGCGGCGCAGCGACATCTATTAGGGAGCCGCGAAACTACGTGCTATGCCAACTTCACAAGCAACGCCACTTCGGGGACGTGCTCGAACTGCATTTCGGGAATATTCAATAAGCTTAGAACGAGACGGATTATTCTTGATGTTTCGGAATATATAAGCGAGCCGTTGAGCACGGAGAGGCAGTTCTGTCTTGGAAAGTGATCCAATGCGATGCGACTAAGACGATATAAGCGAAGTAATAGTGCAGTGTGTGAAATAATAGTGCTGTGAATTAGTATTGAAGTAAGTGGTGTTTTGTAATTTAAATTAAAATTCAAAGGATTTGATGCCTAAGAGTATAGACTACTACTCGTATTAATTTTTTTTTAAATCTTTATCGAAGTAAATATTTGTGTAAAAATGGAATTAATACTTGGCTGTTTTTTTAATTGTTACGGGTCGGTTCAACATTTGAAATGTCAAAAAAGACGCAAGAAAATACATTATTCAAATATTTATTTAAAAAATCTAAACCTGGTACTGGTAGTGAAGGTTCTACTGAAAATCAGTGTTCAAGTGTTTTCGACAATGATACCTACAAGTAGTTCTGGTACTTCTTCTGCCATTCCTGGGACTGTGGATGATGTTTCTCAGCATGTTTTAGACGTGTGCTATTATACGGGATCAAACACCAAAATTGATGATGATTTAAAGTAAAGATTGTCGAAATCTCCTTGGATGCCAGAAAAGACATTCAAGTTTCCAGCAAGTGAAGATAAAAGAAAGCTAAAATTTCAAATGCAATGGTTTGAACGGTTCTCGTGGTTGGTTTACATGAGTACAGGGCAACAAGGTGCTTTATGCATTTATTGTGTATTATTTGCCAGAGATTGCACAGGAAAAGGCTCTCATCAGCAGTTGAAATTCTTAGTTACTCAGCTGCTTACTAAATGGAAAGATGCTGTACATGATTTCAAACATCACAGTGAAATCCAGTACCACAAATCTTCTGTATTATTGGCTGATAATTTTATGAAGATGTATAATAAATCTCAACCAAATATAATAAGTCAGATTGATAACGGATACCTAGCGCAAATAGCTGAAAATCGGAAACGGCTCATTTCGATTATTGAAACAATTAAATTATGTGGACGTCAAGAATTGGCACTGAAAGGTATGTGAGACTCAGGTCCAATAAAAATTAATGATGCTGAGCCAGAAACAAATGATGGAAACTTTCGTGCTATAGTACGGATGAGAAGCAGATGTGGCGACTCAGACCTAATAAAGCACACAGAAAATATGAATAAAATGAACTTATTGCAATTTGTGGTGAAATAATCCAGAAAAAATTCTGCGAATTTTTTTTCAATCCTTGTTGACGAAACTACTGATGTTTCACGACAAGAACAGATGTCCATTTGTCTAAGATATGCCGAGCCAAAAGATAATGGGTTTTTCTTGCGTGAAGATTTTTTAATTTTTGTAACAGTTGAGAATACAAAAGGAAGATATTTAGCTAATGCAATTTTATCTGAATTAAAATCTTTGGGAATACATTGCGAATATTTAGTCGGACAAGGATATGATGGAGCTTCTTCCATGAAAGGAAATTTTAAAGGTGTGCAGACAGTAATTTGTGAGTCAAGAAGCCTAATACGTTCATTGCAGCTCACATTCATTGAATTTAGCTCTGGATCATTCTTGCCAGGTTCAGCCTATTCGAAATACTATTAGAATTATAAAATCGGTTAGAAATTTTAGCAAGTCCTCGGCAAAACGAACCAAGTGTTTAAAAGATAATATCGAAAAAAACTTCCCTGAAACACAATGGAAAAACATTACGGCTATGTGCGAGACCCGCTGGGTAGAGAATCATGATGGATTGTTAAGATTTAAAGAAATTTATAGAGAGATTGTTGATACACTAGACGACTTAAGCACTGACATTGATTCTGAAACATCGTCAAAGGCTAATTATTTTCTGAGATCAGTCATTTAAAGTGATTTTGTTATTATAAGCTTATGTTGCTTAGGAATGTTGTTCCCGTACACACTGATACTATGATGCAAAATATATACTTTAATCGCCCCTATGCGATTTGGCAGCAGCTTTACAACATGTCGATTTAATTATAAAGACAATTGAAGATGTTATTGATTCAAAATTTGCTTAACTTTTCAAGAATACACAGAATTTGTTCAGTACTGTAAACGAGGAAATGAAAATTCCGCGAATAACGTCACGGCAAGAACATAGGGCAAACTACAACACAAAGGATCCTGAAACTTATTTTAGAGTTACTATAATGATTCCACTTTTGGATGATTTCATTGATCAGCTTCAGTCGAGATTCCAAAATCATAAAGCCACATTATCATCTCTCAACATTTTAATTCTGTCTTATTATCAGAAAAGTACTTTGAGCTCTATAAAAAATATTTGGAATGGGACTTTGTAAAAGCTGAATTAGACATGTGGCGGATAAAATGGGTGGAAGAATATGAACTAGATCGACCAACATGTGCTATTGAAACTCTCGGAGAATGCAACCAAACATTCACAAACTTTTAAAGATCTTGGCGACACTGCATGTTTCTACATGTACTCCTGAGAGGACTTTCTCTTCTATGAATCGCCTTAAAACTTATACGAGAAACTTTACAGGCCAGGAAAGACTAAATGGTTTGGCGTTAATGTCAAAGAAAGCTAGAAGACTAAATTTAATTTTGAAATAAGGTGTTAATATTTCTGTAATGGTTTTCTAATATGATAAGTAACACCATTTTATTTCTTTTATTAAAACGATTTTATGTCTCTACTGTTCCACCAAATCAACCCCCCCCAAATTATTTTCTGGCTACGGCCTTGGTTGTTGCAGATGTAAATACGGTTTACAGAGCTTCTGTAATCTCAGATTAAAAGATGTATTGTGCCACCAAGGTAGCTCTTAAAAGTAAGTTTAGGAGACTTTTCCTATCCCCATAAAATTACCCTCTCAATGAATTATCATACTTTTCCTATTTAAATTGTATTAGCTTAAATGATAGAAGGAGACGAAATGACGTACTTGTGAATCAGGTGAGGATATAATTTTTACCATTGAGAATAAATCATCAGCAAATGCATGCATAGTAATCATCACAATAACATTTTCTTAATTTTTCATTTTCTCCCCTTTATTACTTCATTTATTAACAATCTCTTTTTTTTTGGGTAATATAAATATATATGATGTCGTCGAATTTTCCAGTCAAACGTAGTATCATTTAACCTATTTAACTTTTTAATAGACGTACTAAACGTTGACGCATTTGTGATCAATCAGTTATTTAAAAGGTTAACAAAATCATAAATCGCATGATTTATTCCGAGTCTGGTAAATTCTGGAGTTTGTCTACAGCGAATTACTAGCTAATAATTTGATGTTATATATTAGTATTTACTATTTATTAGTTTTTACTAGAAAATGGAAACAATTATTTTTTTCTGGTTTTATTAATCTTTAAAACATGCGTTAAAAATATTTTAGAAAATTTGACGCTTTTTAATAATAGGAATATTAGTGAAACAAACAAAATTAAATTTGTTTATTGATGCATTGGAAAACAGACCTATTCGGTGACATTTCACAATTGATCAGATCAAAGAAACACGTGTAAAAAAAGTTAAGGTGGATCGTAAAAATAGGGAAATAAATGTATATCCCGTTATTAAAATCAGCGAACCTTGTTCTAGTACTACAATTACAAAAAAAGTAAACATATGAAAAAACTGTTTAGAATATTTTAAAAAGAAATGATTAGGTTAGGTTATTGATATTTTTTTTAAGGCACTTAGTGTGTTTATAATAATATTGTCCTACAAAAGCCTTGTGCTTTGTTTGCTCCTTGCCCGCGGTATGAACTCTAGCAATATAGAGACAAACACATCGATTTTAGAAATTACCAGAAAAAGCGTTACGTGGCCATTGAGTCAGAAATGGAATTCTCGGACATTCCACATCGTCTAGAAACTACTCGTATAGAGCTCAACTTTGTATAAATAGCGCGAGTTGTCGACGGACGGGCAGATTGAATTTAAGTGTTGGACAGAAAAGATAAATTGTAATAAATAAATTATAATTGTGAGTGTCTAAGTATTATATAAATTAATTAGTACGTATAAATAAATTGTAAATAGTGTTTTAAATAAATAAACTGTAAATAAATTAAATCAACGTAACAATAATTATATATTTTTTACAAAAACTATTTTGTTGTGTAATTATTTAAATTTAAATATATTTTGTTGTTAAAATTATAATAAATCTATATATGTATGTAAAAATACTTACCATATCAACTTTGGAAAATGCTGAATTAGTAGAGGAAGCATGAGAAGTGCTATTTTCCCTTTTAGCTTCTAATTCCTTTGACTGTATGCGTTAAATAATAAAAACAATTTACAGAAATGTTAAACTGATCATCTTATTATTATAATATAGTTATTTTTTTAAATATGAGTGTTTTAAGATCATTTTTAATCTCATCAAACAAATGTTATTTTGTAAGTCAATGGAACTTGAAAAAAGTATTTTGAAAATACGTCCATATAACTACAGAGTATTCCTATAGTATTTCATATTAAATGATTTCCGTTTTACTGATAAATCAAAGTGACAAATTTATGAGGTCATTTCAAAGTTTTGTAGTTTTGTATTAAAACCTTAGAAAAAAGATTGTATGGCATTAAGCCGGTTTTTTTAAAGCAACATTTCGTATTCTTTAAAATTTTTTAAATTTGGTTCCAAAATATTCAATAATTGTATTCAGAAGAAAATATTTCAAAATCTATTTGAAATATGAAAACATGTATCTGCATCTGTATTATTAAATGTAGGATACTCTGTAGATTTTTGTTTTAATACAAGTAGACATTCTGTAAACATAATATTGTTTAAAGGGCGAGACAAAATATTTTTACTTGGATTTTAAAATAAAAACATTTACTTAGTTTGTTCCTATTTAATACTAATATTTTGTTAATAATGAGAAATATTATTTTTTAACTTATTCTTTATTTACTGTATACATTTACATTATTATTTTTTATAAGAATAACAATAGCAATTATCGCAATATAAAACAAACTTTTCGGAACATACTGCAAGTAATATAATTGAAGGTAAAATATCTGTTAATCAATAACTATCTCAGTTATACAAATAGGAATAGTTTTATCTTACATTTCACAAAAAATCTGAAGACAAAAATTATAAAGATCTTTTATAAAGAACTTTTAGTTCAACAATTTTCTTAAAAATCAGAATTTTGCACATTTTGACAAATTTCTCGAATACGGACTATTTTAGGAAAACTTTTCTTCTCCAAACATTAACAGCTATAATCCATAAAATATAAAAACGACCCCTTTTAAAGCACCCCTCCAGATGTTCCGACTCTGCCCAAAATCTAATCATTTCACAGTGACATAATATAGATATTAGTACAGATGTATGAAAAAACTTTCAATGTTTTAGAAAGTCTTTCTAAAACACTGACAATTTTTTTACCTATATCTGTACAGGGATCTATATTCTGCTACTGTGAACCCCCAAAATTTTGGTAACGAGCCGTCCCTGCATTTCACCTCAGGCCGGAATAAAGCTAAGGTTTAAAATTTGGTGTTTTTCTTTGTATTCGTTCATGAGCTATCGAGGATATAAACAGACACACATATACATCATTGCGAAAATAGTCAAAACGGATTCAGGGGACCCCAAAACGTAAAAATTCGTCGAAAACATCATGATTCCTATACTTTCCTTATCTGTATACATATAGGAAATTCTTAAATTAAATTAAAAAATTTCAGCAATGATTTGGATTGTTACTGAGGCATTTATCCCCATTTTTTAAACTTTTTTTACGTTTTTGATCATTCAGAGATCGAAAATGCAAAAAAAAAATTCGTCTGGTCGTCTGTACGTATGTATGCCGGCACGATAACTCTTGAACGAAAGTTCTAATTGACTTGCGGTTTTGAATTTCTTAAATAATTGCTTCTAACTTAGGACCCTATTGATTTTCAGAATTTTCGGTTCATTCTAACTACTTAATATTAATTTTCTTAAAATCCTGCCATGAATTTATGTGACTAATTTTACGCATTCCAAGCATTCCTAAGATTCTTAACATTC